TACACTATACACTACTACACTACTTTATACACTACACTAAACACGGCACTATACACTACACTATACACTACTTTACACTACACTATTCACTACTCTACACTACGTTATACACTACTTTATATACGACACATACACGACACATCCTCATTAAAATGCAAATCAATTAATAACATTTTTGACATGCGTTTTTCTGGATTTTTTTGTTTTTATTCTGTCTCTCACTGTTCAACGAAACCTACCAATAAAATTATAGACTGATAATTTCTTTGTCAGTGGGTAAACGTACAAAATCAGCAGAGGATCAAATACTTTTTTCCCTCACTGTATACACTACTGTACACTACACTATACACTACACTATATACTACACTATGCACTACTTTATTCTACACTATACACTACACACTACTACACTATGCACTACACTATACACTTCTACACCATACACTACTTTATACTACACTATACACTACTTTTCACCACTACACGCTACTTTATACACTACACTATACACGACACTATACACTACTATACACTACACTATACACTACTTTACACTACACTATACACTAAACTATACAGTACACTATACACTACCCACTCCTATACACTACACTATACCCTACTTTACGCTACACTGCACACTACTTTACACTACACTATACTATACACGACACCATACACTACTACACTATACACTACTTTACACTACTTTACACTACACTATACACTACACTATACACTACTTTACACTATAATATGCACTACTTTACACTATACACTACACTATACACTACACTATACACTATACTACACTATACATTATACTATACACTAATTTACACTACACTATAGACTACTACACTACACACTACTTTATACACTACACTATACACTACTATACACTACACTATACAATACTTTACACTACACTATTCACTGCTTTACACTACTTTATACACTACTTTTATACACGACACATACACGACACATCCTCATTAAAATGCAAATCAATTAATAACATTTTTGACATGCGTTTTTCTGGATTTTTTTGTTGTTATTCTGTCTCTCACTGTTCAAATAAACCTACCAATAAAATTATAGACTGATAATTTATTTGTCAGTGGGTAAACGTACAAAATCAGCAGAGGATCAAATACTTTTTTCCCTCACTGTATACACTACTGTACACTACACTATACACAACACTATAGACTACGCTATGCACTACTTTATTCTCCACTATACACTACACTTTACTACACTATATACTACTTTACACTGCACTATACACTACTACACTACTTAACTATACTACACTATACACTACTTTACACTACACTACTACACTACACACTACTTTATACACTACATTATACACGACACAGTACACTACTATACACTACACTATACACTACTTTACACTACACTATACACTACTTTACACTACACTATACACTACACTACACACTACTACTACACTATACACTACACTATACACTACACTACACACTACTACTACACTATACACTACACTATACACTCCTATACACTACACTATACACTACACTATACACTACACACTCCTATACACTATTTTACACTACATTATACACTACTTTACACTACTTTACACTACACTATACACTACACACTACTACTACACTATACACTACACTATATACTACTACTACACTATACTATACACTACACTATACACTACACTATACAGTACACTATACACTACTACTGCACTATACACTACACTATACACTACACTATACACTACACTATACACTACACTATACACTACACTAATATACACTACACCATACACTACTTTATACACTACACTACACTATACACTCCACTATACACTACTATATACTACACTACTATGCACAACACTACTATACACTACACTACTATACACTACACTACTTAACACTATACACCACTATACTCTACACTTTACACTAGACTACTATACACGACACTGCACTATACCCTGCACTACTACACAGCTGTCAAACCCTTATCAGTGCCCTACCTTATTACAGACCAATTCAGACATTTATTGGTCACTCCCGCGCCCTTATAAATCTCAACGTTCATCCTACATCATCAGCAATCCCCATCACGTGGTGATGGGGATTGCTGATGATGGCAGTTACCATTGATCGCGATTGCTGATAATGGTGATTGCTGATAATGGTGATTGCTGATGGTGATTGCTAATGATGGAGTTTGTTTATGCAAATTTACAATGATGGTGATTGCCAATAATGGTGATTGTTGATGATGTTGATTGCTGACGATAGTTATTGTTAATGATGGTGATTGTTAATGATGGTAATTACCAATAATGGTGATTGTTGGTTATGGTGATTGCTGATGATGATGATTGATTTCTGCTGACGACGATGATGATGGTGATTGCTAATGATGCGGGGTTTTTTTTTCTTATTTTCATCCCGCGCAGGTCGAGAACATCTTCCAACAGATCCAGGACAAACTCCAGGGTCTCTCTGGCCAAGTTATCGGAAGAAATATCCGAGCAAGTTGCATAAGTGTGGTTCGCGTGTGCGTGTGTCTGGCCAGTACGTGCTTTGTGCGTGATTAGCGGCCTGTGTCCGTGAGATCTACGTGTTGGTACGTATCTGTTGTTACTGTTCTTCTTGGTATTGCATTGTTTAGTGATACTTGCCTTGGCAGCTGTGCACGTTCAGTACTCAGTGCCTTCATCATTAAGACTGCCCTAATAGGAGCAATGTAATGGTGTGTGTGTGATTTGTGTGCGGTTAATATGGGGGTGTGTGCGTGGTTGGTTGGCGTGTGTTTGTGGTTGGTGTGTGAGGCTGGTGTGTGTGTGAGGTTGGTGTGTGTGTGTGTGAAGATGTTAGGGCTAGAACATGGTCGGTGTGTGCTTGGTGTGTGTGTGTGTTGTATGTATGTGGTTGGTGTGTGTGGTTGGTGTGTGTACGTTGTATGTGTGTGCTTGGTGTGTGTGTGTTGTATGTATGTGGTTGGTGTGTGTACGTTGTATGTGTGTGCTTGGTGTGTGTACGTTGTATGTGTGTGCTTGGTGTGTGTGTGTTGTATGTATATGGTTGGTGTGTGTGTGTGGTTGGTGTGTGTGTGGTTGGTGTGTGTGTGTGTGGTTGGTGTGTGAGTTTGGTGTGTGTGTGTGTGTGGTTGGTTGGGGGGGAAGATGTTAGGGCTAGTTCATGGTCGGTGTGTGTGGTTGGTGTGTGTGTGTACGTTGTATTATGTGGTTGATGTGTGGTTGGTGTGTGTGAAGATGTTAGGGCTAGTACATGGTCGGTGTGTGTGTTTTGTGTGTTTGTGTGTGTGTGCGTTGTATGTGTGTGGTCGGTGTGTGTGGTTGGTGTGTGTGTGCGTTGTGTGTGTGTGGTTGGTGTGTGTGTGTGTTGTATGTATGTGTATGGTGTGTGTGTGCACACACGTTAGGGTTAGTATACCGTTGTGTGTGTGTGGTTGGTGTGTGTGTGTGCATTGTGTGTGTGTGTGGTGTGTGTGTGTTGTTTATGTGTGGTGTGTGTGTGCACACACTTGTTAGGGTTAGTATACGGTTGTGTGTGCGTGTGGCTGTGATGTATCCGTCGCGACTATCACAAGTGGAGCTGGCTGATAAAATCTGACAACCCATTAGGTGTCTTGGTGGCTCAAGGGTACAAACCAAGGTGAGTTAGATGGCAATGACGAGATTGATCTACATTCAGCCAAGCGGTGCTCGTGGGAAAACCCGAGTTCAACGGAGCAACCGATAGGTAAACATAAAAGAGATGCAACGTTGTCCAGGGTTTCGTAAAGGGCCTCGTGGCTCAAGAAACACTCTCCATGCCCCGTATTGCTCTTTATTATTTACATGTTTATTTCGTTGTCCTCATTAGTCACCCCAGGAAAGGCTCACTGTGTCTCACGACACTTTCAGGAGGGTCCTGCCAAGTTCGCTGCAGGAGCGGGCAACGTTCCTGCTGCATCTAATTCCACTTCAGTCATTTGCGGGTTAATTGTTCACGATTGGGACATTTGACCGATGCCAAGTTACGTTGTACAGTAAAACCTTGGATTGCGAGTAACTTGGTCTGCGAGTGTTTTGCAAGACGAGCAAAAATATTAAAGTAAATATTAATTTGATAAACGAGCGATGCCTTGCAATACGAGTAGTGTACGTATACGCTTTGTCTGCCGAGCGTCACGTGATCACAACTGATATATGAGTGCTTTGGATTACCATCACGTTTACGGAAGGGAATTATGCTCGCAGTCCAAGGTTTTACTATACGGGGTTTTTTTAAAGCTATGGAAGCAAAAACGAAGGAACCCGGTGAAAACACAAAGATCCCCCCCCCCATGTAGCCTCAACAGACTGTTGGGGCAAGTGCTGTTAGCGAGCACCTATGAAGGCTGGAACGGCACACGAGGGGTGGGTGGCCAGCACCACGCCCGACCGCCTTTGTCTCCCCAGTGGCGATGTTGACACAGCCCACCAGGTTCTCGTATGAGGCTGAGTCGACCTAGGGGATGCCCAGGGCAGTTCATATAATCGTCACCGGTGTTGGCCGTGAGCGGGAATCGAACTTGGGTCGCCGGGTTTGTAGCGCAGCGTAGCGCTAACCGCACACCACTTTTCCCCACACACTAACAATTGCACACAAAGACAAGACAAAGATCCCCCGTATGGCCTCAAGAGACTGTTGGGGCAAGTGGTGTTAGCGAGCAGCGCCTATGACGGCACTCTCAAACTCACACGCTCACACCCCGCAGGACGGGGGTAAAACATACAAACCCCACACAGGCGGCAGGCACCCGAGTCGGGAATCAAACCCAGGTACTTCTTGCTGTGAGGCGCAGATGTTAAACCACTGCGCCAACGTCCTGCGAGAGGCGTACGGAATAATTGGGAGCATTGCGCTCGTGCGTTCGTGAACTTCTTTTGTGCCTGCCGCGTCGTATCCCTTAACCCCGGTGCCAACTCGATGGGTTGAGCGGGCACGTCGATGACCTGGAGAGGCAAGTGTCGGACCTGATGACCCGGACGAGGCTGGAGGAGTTCGAATCGCACCGCCGCGGTAAGATTCGTTGGCCCCAGGGTTGCCACCGGAGTGGCGGCCCTGCAATTGGTCGCTCGCGAGCACCCTCCAGAGACTAGAGGGATCTCCACTAGAGGGACCTCAAGGGAGCCGCCTCCCCCCCCGCCGTTTAGAGGATATTCGGCCTACTCCTCTACGCTGCCCAGATGTCCTTGGAAGCAGTGCCGGATGAAGCTAGTGCGGGGCCTGTAGCATATGTTATAAAGGGGCCCTAAATAACAAAAAAACGTAAATATTAAAACACATTTTTTATTTGCATAGTAAAGTAATTGTATTTTTTCATTTTCTATACAGCCAGATATTACGACAAATCGCTAACATTAAACACCCAGTCATTCATAAAAGTTGAAGACGGTATAGTACTATAGTAATAGAGCAAGTGCAGAATTACCGAACCGGAATTGATAGCTTGAAAGCATTTAGTGCGGTGTCCTTGAAAGTGCGGGGCCCGTAGCATTTGATACTTTTGCTCCTAGGATAATCCGGTACTGCTTGTAAGAGAATCCACACTCCACCCCGCCGCAGTAGATGGACTTAACTGGTGTGCCTATTAATACCGATCGGTGGACAGAGATGGAGGGTGGTGGGAGGAATACTTGAGACACTCATCCTCTGGATCGCAACTCCAGTGCACTGATAGTTTTACCATAAGGGGTGGGGTGGTGGCGCAGCCGTTAGCACACTTTGCCTTGAACCTCGCGACCTGAGTTCAATCCTCGGCCACGGCTAATATCTGTTGTGAAGCGATATTGGAACCAATCCTCCATCACCCCCACCACCCCATCACACCACCTTCACAAACACGCACTGACCAGCGTGGCGAAGTACGGTCAAAGAGCCCCCATGACCAACTGTGGTGTAGGGAGTTCTCCATCCAGCGGTGGATTGATCAAGAGCTTTATTTATTTACCGAGGGGGGCCATCGCCCACGAAGCCTTGGCCAAGCGTTGGAACGTTCATCATTCCCACGCGCAACGTGAGACCTTTTGACCGTGCCCATCTTGATGTTTTTTTCCCTTCTATTCTTTGGGTCTTTCGGTAAAGTCACCTAGGTAGGTTCAACCTACGTAGGTGAACCTATCTACGTGACTTTACCAAACGACCCAAAGAATATGAATTCCTGCCGCCACAAAAGCTTCACGTCAAGATTTTTTTCCTTTCTAATTTCGCAGAGTGGCCGCTTCGCTGAGGCTCCCTGGCACGAGAAGAGTCAACGTAGAACGCTGCGCAATGCACGCACGAGAAGTCTGACCTTAGAGCTGCGATGATTAGTCGATGTATCTCGATTCACTTGAGTAATCCATAATACACAACGTTTGTAAATGTTGTAGCTTTGCTCTCCAGCACACCGGTGTTGCTGTACTAGTCATGAATTGGCACGTCCTGTTTATGTGACAAACCTTACTTATTGGCTGTGTCGGGTGGCGGCGGCGGCGAGTTTAACCCACAAAACCTCGATTTTTGGATGACATTTGGTCGCGAAAGCCTACGACGTGTTCAACTCAATTGAGTAAAACAAGAAATGACAAGAGAACACTTTGTCTGTGATCGATTAAACTCGGGTCCGTTTTACACGTGGCGGCCACACCTACTACGTTGTGCCTTGTGAAGGCAGGGAACCCCCCCCCCCTTTAAGCCACGCCCCGCGCGACTCCGACCAATGGGGAGGCTTCTGATGTCGCCAAGCGCCCCGCCTTCCCTCCCCCCCGACCTCTTATGGTGATGTGCCGCTATCACGCAGTCACTCGCTCTCGAAGGGAGCGAGCGCCGGAGAGCGGCGCGTGGAGGAATCGCAACCAAGTCGGAAAATTCAGCAGCTCGGAGGTCGGCAGGCAGGCAGTTGAGCCGGCATCAAAGTCTCTCCCCAAGCTCTGCGGTCCTCTACATATTTAAGGCGTTATCAGAAAACTAATGAGCGCTTCATCAGTGAAAACTCGAGTGAATAACCACGCATTTTTGTCGTAGCGCCTTCTCCTGGCGAGCGAGAGTATAGCAGCTCTGCTCCCGCGGGAAGGAGAGTTTAGAAACGCTTTCTGTGTGCGGTCAGCCTCCACCAAAGTAACTTTGTATTTTATTTTCCCAGCTAATGCCCACTGAGCTTCGTAGCTATTTTTCAGAAGCGAACAGTCTATCAAAAATGGTAGCTCAGCGGAGTGGCTTACGTGGAAATCGATAGCAGCCAAATGCTCTAAAACGCGCGATGTTGATTTTAAGTGATGTGGAGGGGAAAATCGGAGGACCCGGAGAAAAATCCACACGACCACGGGAAGAGAGACACACAGACTCCAAATATACAGCAGCAGGCGTCAGGATCGGGATTGAACCCACGACCTCCTGTGTACCAGGCGAGGTAGTAATCATCTCGCCACCACTGTTGCTGGAGCTCAGGAAGCCAACTTGCACCGTAGCCACCGCCACCGCCCGGCTGCTCCAGGGGAATCGATTCATTGAAGCAATCGGGCTGGCCACCTCCAGTCGCCTGCACTCGAATTGTCGTCGGTGCACGGGTCGAGGGAGCTTTAATGCAAGGTCGTCGTGTGCAAACGGCAAACTCCGCCGTCCACTGCACATTCATGTTGTTTCAAAGTGAAGAGTGTTCGTGTGGAGTACTCACGGTGCCCCCCCCCTCCCCCCCCCCCACATTAACCGGTGTGGTCACACGGCGCTGATGATGCGGTGAGGCTTTCTGGTGCGCTGCATTTGGTTTATAGCGGAGTAAACGGTTCTCTTTCCGTACGAAGGATTCTTCTTGCTGATCTCCCCGATGTTTAGCTTATAAATGAGTGAATGATTACAGTTACTTATCCAGGAAAGCCAAATCGAGTCTCTTTATTTTTAAGTAGAGTTTTGCTACATTCAGATTTATATATATAGGTTTAAAAATATGTTTTTCAGCCAATTATGAGTGTTTATACATACGGGAGGAAACCGGAGCACTATGGAGAAAACGTGAGAGGGGCGACGCTCGATCCCCATACAGATGGAATCGAGTCCACGTTTGACGTACCGCCTCGAGGTTATGGCCCCTCGACACTCAAGGCGAAGGGACTTTGACAACGTTGGCGTGATGCACCAATAAAGTGCAGGTGTTTTTGTTGTTGTTCAGGCCGTGTCGTCACAAAACTCTAAGCCCAAGCCTCGCGCTCTACACCGCAAGACGTTTACACCTGCACTCTAGAGTAATTGAGTGTTTTTGATTTAAAGCTTTCGTGACTGCAGGGATTCATATTCTTGGTTCTTTCAGTAAAGTCACGTAGAAGGGAAACAATTAAATAATAAAAATATATAAAACAATAAAATTCTTACGACGTTTCGACTGCAACACAAGCAATCATCATCAGGTGTGAAAAACACAGCAAGAGAAAAAAACGCCACTTTTTTCAAAAATTTCTTGCTGTGGTTTTCACACCTGATGATTATTGCTTGTGTTGCAGTCGCAACGTCGTGAGAGTTTTATTGTTTTATATTTTTATTATTTTATTGTTTCCCTTTTACGTGACTTTACCGAAAGAACCAAGAATATAATTGAGTGTTGTTGAGATCGTTGAATCGAGTACTGTGTTGCCAAAGTGCGCGCGTTCTGCGTGGCTGTTATTGGACTGTTACGGCAGAATGTCGCATTCGTCTTTTTTCTTGAATCCAGGCGGCTCGGAGGTTCGGTTTAATTGGGTGGAAGCGTTCCAGCAATCGTTGAGTTCGCCCGTGGTACGCGACACCTTGTGAACTTTGGTTTTTAATACGGGCTTTCACGACCGATGTGATTCGCGATTTGTTTCTTTGGAGGGGGGGGGGGGGGTGAGATCGGCGTTGTCGTGTCGGTGTACAGGGACTCCTGTTTAGGAACACTCGACTTGCGAACTTTCAGGCATGCGAAAAACCTCGTCCATATGTCCAGCTTCCTGTTCGGAAACCAAGAGTCGTAAGTTCAACCACCGGGTAATAGAAGGCGGTGGCGGCATCTACATCTGCAGAACGTGAAGAACCAGTGGCTTCTACATCTGCAGAACGTGAAAAGCAGTGGCATCAACATCTGCAGAACGTGAAAACCAGTGGCATCTACATCTGCAGAACGTGAAGAACCAGTGGCATCTACATCTGCAGAACGTGAAGAACCAGTAGCTTCTACATCTGCAGAACGTGAAGAACCAGTGGCTTCTACATCTGCAGAACGTGAAGAACCCGTAGCATCTACATCTGTAGAACGTGAAGAACCAGTGGCATCTACAGAACGTGAAGAACCAATGGCATCTACATCTGCAGAACGTGAAAACCAGTGGCATCTACATCTGCAGAACGTGAAAACCAGTGGCATCTACATCTGCAGAACGTGAAGAACCAGTGGCATCTACATCTGCAGAACGTGAAGAACCCGTGGCATCTGCAGAACGTGAAGAACCAGTGGCATCTACAGCTGCAGAACGCGAAGAACAAGTGGCATCTACATCTGCAGAACGTCAAAACCAGTGGCATCTACATCTGTAGAACGTGAAGAACCAGTGTAATCTACATCTGTAGAACGTGAAGAACCAGTGGCTTCTACATCTGCAGAACGTGAAGAACCAGTGGCATCTACATCTGCAGAACGTGAAAACCAGTGGCATCTACATCTGTAGAACGTGAAGAACCAGTGGAATCTACATCTGTAGAACGTGAATAACCAGTGGCATCTACATCTGCAGAATGTGAAGAATCAGTGGCATCTACATCTGCAGAACGTGAAGAACCAGTGGCATCTACATCTACAGAACATGAAGAACCAGTGGCATCTACATCTGCAGAACGTGAAGAACCAGTGGCATCTACAGCTGCAGAACGTGAAGAACCAGTGGCATCTACAGGTGCAGAACGTGAAGCACCAGTGGCATCTACATCTGCAGAACGTGAAGAACCAGTGGCATCTACATCTGCAGAACGTGAAGAACCAGTGGCATCTACATCTACAGAACATGAAGAACCAGTGGCATCTACATCTGCAGAACGTGAAGAACCAGTGGCATCTACAGCTGCAGAACGTGAAGAACAAGTGGCATCTACAGCTGCAGAACGTGAAGAATCAGTGGCATCTACAGCTGCAAAACGTGAAGAACCAGTGGCATCTATATCTGTAGAACGTGAAGAACCAGTGGCATCTACATCTGCAGAACGTGAAGAACCAGTGGCATCTACATCTACAGAACATGAAGAACCAGTGGCATCTACATCTGCAGAACGTGAAGAACCAGTGGCATCTACAGCTGCAGAACGTGAAGAACAAGTGGCATCTACAGCTGCAGAACGTGAAGAATCAGTGGCATCTACAGCTGCAAAACGTGAAGAACCAGTGGCATCTATATCTGTAGAACGTGAAGAACCAGTGGCATCTACATCTGCAGAACGTGAAGAACCAGTGGACATCTACGGGAGATGATACAATGTTTAAAGCCACTCCCCGTGTTTAGTGTGCATACCGTACACCACGTTTGGAATTGACAGGAGTAAAGTTGGACTTAGGAACAGACTTCTGGAACATAACTCGTTCGTAATTAGAGGAGTCCCTGTAATGTCAATAATTATAACCCTCCCACCACTCAGTGACAGCCAATCAAATCAAGCTGTCAAGTCATGGGCAAATATGTCAATATATAATATTACACTTTGCCCATCACTTGACAGGACCTTATACTTACGTGGCGATCTGACCGAAACGTCAATTGTGAATCGTAATTTCGAGCAAGTCGTAATTTCGAGTAACTTCGAGTTATTTGGCTGCTGTGAATTTCCACGTGGTGATGATGATGATGACGAGCCACTTCGTTGGCTTCTGAGAACAAGAGTTGTATGGCAGCTCAGTATGCCTTGACAAGGTAAAATACAATACATTGTTTAGTTATACATCTTTTGACATGGGTCGCGAAAGGCGACTTCTACCCACGTGTGTTAGGTTTGCGAGAATAAAAACGACACTCGTCTCCCCACCCAGCATTCCAAACGCGCACAAAACACAACCCGAACAAATTTTAAAATACATCGGTACATTTATTCGTATATAAAAAAACCCAAAACAATTTAAATGATATTACACGTTAATAAATATATATATTTTTTGGAACGAAAAATGCATAGCTTATTTCATCTTACAACAACAAAAAACCACGTAGGTTACACTGACATGCAATTTAAATAATGCACAGAGTAAACCAACTCTGAACTGCTGCTGTCCCAACACGGAGGGGTCCGGTCACTCGCTCGTCTCCCCGCTATTGCAGTGGCTCCCCACCCCCAGACTCCCACCCTCAGACCCTCACCCCACCCCAGACTCCCACCCCAGACCCTCACCAAACCCCAGACCCTCACCCCAGACCCTCACCCCACCCCAGACTCCCACCCCAGACTCCCACCCCAGACTCCCACCCCAGACTCCCACCCCACCCCAGACTCCCACCCCAGACCCTCGCCCCACCCCAGACTCCCACCCCACCTCAGGATCCCACCCCAGACCCCCACCCCAGACTCCCACCCCACCCCAGACCCCCACCCCAGACCCTCGCCCCACCCTAGACTCCCACCCCACCCCAGACTCCCACCCTAGACTCCCACCCCACCCCAGACTCCACCCAGACTCCCACCCCACCCCAGACTCCTACCCCAGACCCCCCACCCCACCCCAGACCTCCACCCCACCCCAGACCCCCACCCCAGACTCCCACCCCAGACTCCCACCCCAGACTCCCACCCCACCCCAGACTCCTACCCCAGACCCCCCACCCACCCCACCCCAGACTCCCACCCCACCCCAGGTTACACGGAGGGGTCCCCGCTGGCTCCGCTAGGCCCCTGGGAGTCGGATCCGCGGAACTGTAGCAGAGATGCGATTTGTGTTTTCACCTAAACACAGGACTTTTCTTTTGTTGTTTTACTGCAAGGCGGTCCGCTAAGAAACTCAAATAAGAACCTGTTGATCACGGGGCCAAAACTGTTGAGAAGCGTCGCTCCGTAGCTTGACCCATTTAGTTTTTGTTATATTTTTTTTGATTGAGGCTCTGTGCGGGTCCGATACATCGCATCGTTACGCACACACACGCACACAGCGTCAACATAAGCCAAACCGGTTACGAAAAACAGGTGCTTGACCCCCGTTTCATATCGGCAACGCGTGTTCCCACGCTCCTCTGACAGGGGCGGGGGGGGGTCTGCCGTGACATCTCAGACGTCGACCATCGGCGGCATAGAGAAACTGGGTAGAGGGCACTGTGCGAGGCGCCTGTCGCCAACTCGACCCCTCTCGCCGCCCGCTCCCGCGTGCCCTAGCTCCATGCGGACGTGGCGAAGTCCGGCGGGATGTACGCGGTTCATAATCGAGGTTTTTTGTTGTTGCCACAATTCTGGCAATTGCCGGTGAAATGTCATGGTGCTGAATTGGCGAATGTTGTGGGTTTACTCTCCGGACACGCAAACCGGTGAGTGCTGAACGAGTCACCAATTGGCACGTTTCGTTTGGCCGTGTCGGGTGGTGGCGTGCTAACGACGCATTTATATTAACGCCATCTGACCCAACAACAACAACAAACCTTTATTGTGAATAATATTGGTCGCGAAAGACTCCCGCTACTACGCCTTAACTTGTCTGACGCGACATTGAAAATCTTTGCGAGCCAGCGTCTGGTGATTTTGCCGTCTGGTGATTTCGGTTCTGTGCTCTGCTCTATGATCTTGAGCCACAACAATCAACAACTTTACGATCAATAATCCCCCCCGCTCCCCCCACCACCACATTAAATGTAACGATGAATTTGCATTTCCAGCAAACCCGTTCGCAAGGATTTACACCATTGGAAACCTCATTTGTTACTGGCAAATGAGGTTTCCAATGGTGTAAATGCTTAACCCGAGCTCTCATACTCTGATGGTGCATTGTCTTTGAGTTGTGCGCCTTTTGGCGTCTTCTGGTCCAACACCATGAGAGACGAGGCTCTAAAGAAAGCTGTCTCGGGTGTGGACCAATCAATTTCAAGGACAGTGCATATTATTATCAGAGTAATGTTTTGTTTGCGTTCCGACCGCAGGTATTGTGGTCAATGTAAACATGACTCCTTGTAAAAAAGGTGTCAGTTTTGTTGCCAGATAAAAGGGTAAAAAAACAATTATCCGTTCGCAACGACCAGGTTCTGCCCGTTAGGCTCTGCTCGTTCGCTGGAAACTGTGGTCTCAAAAGAGTTGACCTCCTTATCTGCGCCATTTGGCTGTGGGCTGGTGGGGGGGGGGGTGTTTCTGGCCATTTACCGATGTAATTGGGTCAGAGGGGATGGGCCCAGGGGAGTTTTGGGCGAGAGCACTGCAAAGAGAATTGCGTAAAAAAATCACTGCAGGGTCTTCTCTACTTATGAACATTCGACTTACGAACTTTCAGAGATACGAACAAACTTGGTCCGTATGTCCAATTGCAGCTGTTCGGAACCGAGAGTCTTAAGTTCAACCGCCGTGCAATAGATGGCGGTGGTGGCATTTACATCTACAGAACACGAAGAACCAGTGGCATCGACATCTACAGAACGTGAAGAACCAGTGGCATCTACAGCTGCAGAACGCGAAGAACCAGTGGCATCTACATCTGCAGAACGCGAAGAACCAGTGGCATCTACATCTGCAGAACACGAAGAACCAGTGGCATCGATATCTACAGAACGTGAAGAACCAGTGGCATCTACAGCTGCAGAACGTGAAAACCAGTGGCATCTACATCTGCAGAACGTGAAGAACCAGTGGCATCTACATCTGCAGAACGTGAAGAACCAGTGGCAGCTACATCTGCAGAACGTGAAGGACCAGTGGCATCTACAGCTGCAGAACGTGAAGAACCAGTGGCATCTACAGCTGCAGAAAAAGACGAACCAGTGGTATCTACATCTACAGAACGTGAATAATAAGTGGCATCTACGTCTGCAGGAGATTATGCAACTTTTTAAGCCATTCGCCCCTGTTTAGTGTACACGGTGTACAATTGTTTGGTGGAATCGACAGCAGTGAAGTTGGGACTTATGAAGAAATCGACTTACGAACAGAACCTCTGGAACCAACTCGTTCGTAAGTAGAGGAGTCCCTATACTGATGGCCACCTTTTTGCAAGCAGCCCTGGAGTTTGTCCAACTGCTGTATTCCTTCAGGTGGGGAGCGGTGGTCTAGCGGTTAGCGCTACGCTGCACTACGAACCCGGCGATCCGGGTTCGACTCCCGCTCGCGGCCACCAAAACACCGGTGACGATTATCTGAGCCGGTCGTGGGCCTCCCCTAGGTAGACTCAACCTCAACAGTACCTGGTGCGGTGTGTACTAAACATCGCCACTGAGGAGACAAAGGCGGCCGAGCGTGGTGCTGGCTATCCACCCCCTCGTGTGCCGTGCCGGCCTTCGTAGGTGCTGCTCGTTAACAGCACTTGCCCCAACAGTCTGTTACAGGCTAGACGGGGAGATCTTTGTCTTTCGGATGGAAGTAGAGATTTTGGAGGATTTGTTCAATCGTTAAAGGGGCGATACGATATAAAATAAATACTGCGCGCTGTTTGCATTTCCCTGGACGCTTGCCTCCTCCTGCTGCTGCTGATGTTCCGCAGCAGGGGCCGAGCTTCTCCTGAACGCTGTGCACGAGTGATTGGACAGTGAGAACGTGGCCCACTGAAGCCCTTCTGGGTGGTCGGTCGGTCAGTCGGTTGCTACTGCTAGTCAGTCGGCTGGCCGGTCGGTCGGCCGGTCTGTCGGTCGCTAAAGATACGCGTCGTCCCGTTGTTCATCACGCCTCGTCCCGTTGTTCATCACGCCTCGTCCCGTTGTTCATCACGCCTCGGGGAATTCATTTGGAGATAGTACCGGAGACTCGACAGTCGAGAGAAACAGGAGCCAGACTCGGACCAGACGCACCATAATAATACGGATAATACTGATGGCACTTGAAATGCATACGACGCAGTGAATATAAATTACAGACAAACCCACGATCTTTTAGTCTTCTTTGATTCTTAATATAAAAAATGTTACTTTAAAATTCACCAACCCCTTCGCCGCTGCTACACGTCTTCCGCACATCGCAGCACACGCAACATCGTGTTCGCAGCCCTGCATCGATATTGAAACAATTAGGTCAAACGTTTACATTTGTATACATATATGTGTGAAATACGTAAACTGTTAACGGACACGATTGCGAGTACACATTTTTCAACGTGTAACCCACAACGTTCATTTCGACACTTTACAACATTCCGCAATAAAAAAAAATCATCAACAAAAAAATCTGACCGCTGCCCCCCCCAGAAAATTAGAGGGGGGCATCATTGAAGGCAGACGCTTTCCCATAATGCACTTGGAATAGTTTTGTCGTCACCGTTTTTTTTTTGGGGGGGGGGGTTTGCTTCGCAAACGAAGTTGACTTGGGATCTCGGGAGAGTGAAAATCGTTGCCTTTAAATATATAATAGTACGTTTTTTTTGTACGTAACATCTGCGCTAGCAGCAGTAACGGGAGTCTGGGATGCATCGTATAATTCATTCCACCGCGAGGTCAAGAACAAGTGACCAAGCGAGCTGGGTGACCTTTGGTAGCGAACGCGTCCCGATTGGCACAAATTGACATTGCGACCCCTTGAGAGTTGATCGGTCCAAGTTGAACTCCCAAAGGCACGGGGCTCCTCTTTGGTGGCGAACGCGTGCAGGTCGTCGCAACTCGACGCAGCGGACCTGGAGAGTCGATCCTTCCAAGTCGGAACTCCAGGTTGCAGGTTTCTTTTCGACGCGCGCGCGCGTGCGTGTGTGTGCGCGTGTGTGTGTGTGCGCGTGCGTGTGTGTGCGCGTGTGTGTGTGTGCGTGTGTGCGTTTGCTTTTTATTTTATCGGAGCGCATCTCGTCACGTTGCTAGGGAAGAAGTTATTCTCACAGTCACGAGTCTCGGAGGGGGGCGGGTGGAAGCAGGTTCCCACGATTCGGAAACTTGTGTCAATTCCTCGGCGTGCCACTCATATACAAGTCGTAGCGCGCACACACACGTACACCCCCACGCACCTCTCCACCAACGACGCCGTTGCTACGCCAAGACCTGCGTCCGTCTCTCTTGTCTCAAACTCTTTCTCCCCTCTCGTGAAATAAATAACACTCCGCTGGCTCCTGCGCAGCGTCTCCCAATATGCGGGCGACGCTCGCACGTCGCCGTGCTTAATGGCGCGGTGTGTCGATTGTTAAAAATGAACAAAACGTTCCTCTGTCGAGCCCATGCTGCTTCCCCGAGACCGTGGCAGAGCGAGGAAGGTCCCGCTGTGTGAGAGCGGGAGCGCGTGTTGCGTGTGTTGTGTGTGTTGGGCACCGTTTCGCCCGTGTGGGTGGTAAAGTTCCACGCGGTGGTGACCACTGCCACCACCACCGCCGCCTCGCCTCCCCTAACGATGGGCCCGCGTGTAAATCTCTTTGGCTTTGGAGCGCAAGACGTAATGCGTGAGCTTGCACGCTGGAGCTCACTATAATGACAGTGAAGGCACAATATAATTATTTTGTATAACCCGAAGAAAAAGAAAATTATAACAATGTTATTTAAAAAAAGTCATTTTTCTTTCAGCCGAGAAAGTTTTCAACTCGGGTCACAATATACATTGACGTCTGTGAAAAAGAGCTTCATAGCTCATCGGATTTCTCCAGGATAAATAAAGATTCTGATACATATATATTTGGCAGTACTTTCGAAGTAAGGGTCGGTCCCGCATCGCGAACCTTCGTCCATTTCCGTGTGGAGTATTTTCTGCTGCTGCTGTTGCTTGTGGGATTTAACCGGCGGAATTCTCAGAGGAACTCCCCCCGCATGCAGAGGGTACGGCAACTATGCTAACAAAAAACCCCGACACCCTCCCTCCCATCCTCTACGAGGTGGCGGACTGGAGGAAAGCGAGAGCGAACACACAACACAACATCGGTGCACGCGCCCCGTCCGCGCGCGATCCACCAACCCCACCACCGATTGCATCGCAACCCCCAATCTCAGCCGTTGAGATTGGGGGGGGTCGCGCGCACCACCACCCACAGCCACCGCCACGGGTCAAGTCGGCGGGGGGGGGGGTGGGGGGTGGAGGGGGTCATACGTCCACGGCCAGGGTGTAGCGGTCGTTCTTGCGATTGCACCGGCGCATGACGAGGGCGACGTAGAGCGAGAGCAGCACGACCCAGTAGCAGGCGTAGAGCGCCGCGCCCACGATGAGGAAGGTCTGCTCCGTGGTGTCGAAGGGGTTGCTCACCTCGCGGTACACCGTGTAGGCGATGCCGCCCAGCAGCACGGCGAACCACAGCGAGATGGGCACCAGGCCGATGAAGTTGGTGACGATCGTCTTGCGGCCGGACGTGCCCCAGCCCGCCTTGGTGATGGTGGCGATGGCGAACATCTTGGCGGGCAGGAGGCTGCTCATGTAGAGTAGCGAGTAGAGCGACATGAAGATCATGACGACGTTGCCGCGCAGGAAGCACGCGAACGCCGCCTTGAGCATCCCCACGAACTGGACGGTGAGCAGGAAGAGGAGGATGTTCCAGATGCGGCCCCGATAGAAGAGCTGCACCACCGTGGCGACGAGGAAGAATGGAAAGAAACCCGTGATCACCGCCTCGTACGTCATCCACAGGTGGTGCTTGTGGAACCACAGCGAGTTGTAGAGCCACTCCCTGAAGTAGGACTTGCTCCAGCGCGTCTGCTGGTTGAGCCAACGCAGGTACCCTGTGGGCGTCTCGGTGAGGCAGCGCGCACGCGCTGTGTACTTTGTGGAGTAGCCCAAGCTGAGCACGCGGTTCGTGAGGTGGCGGTCGTCTCCGAAGCTGCACTTGGAGCCGAGGAAGCGCTGCTCGTACCAGTCCTCGAGGAAACGCTGCAGCAGCGAGTTGCGGTACATGCCCAGCGGGCCGCTGATGCACTGCACGCATCCGAAGTAGGACTGGCAGGCGCGCTCCACGTTGAAGGCCATCCAGTAGCGCACGCTGCTCAAGAACGAGATCCAGGAGTCGTACTTGTTGAGGATCTGGGTGCGGGAGAGGTGGTGGTGGGGGAGGGGGGGGATGGGTGAGTAACTTGCGGTTGTGATTTTGTCAGCATTGCGATGTTAGTAGAGGTTTTTTGTTGGGATTAGATCTCATAAACATATCAATGTGACGTTAAACCCGCCACCACCCGACACAGCCGACTAGTAAGAGTTGTCACGTAAACAGAACGTGGCCAATTCGTCACCAGTACAGCACTAGTGTATAGTGTAGTGTATAGTGTAGTGTATAGTAGTGTATAGTGTAGTGTATAGTGTAGTGTAGTAGTGTATAGTAGTGTATAGTGTAGTGTATAGTGTAGTATATAGTAGTAGTGTATAGTGTAGTGTATAGTGTAGTGTATAGTGTAGTATATAGTAGTAGTGTATAGTGTAGTGTGTAGTAGTGTATAGTGTAGTATACTAGTACAGCACACCGGTGTGTTGGAGAGCCAAGCCACAACATTTACAAACTGAGTACGACGTTTCGCCAGTAATTACAACCGGCTTCATCAGGCGACAGCCAGATGTGGGTTTAACGACGCGTTTGTACATTTACGCGATCTAACCCAAAAACACCTCTGCTATGGATGATATTGATCGCAAAAGCCTGCAACGTGTTAAATATTGCTACGTTGTCTGACCCAATGCCTGCGTTACGTTCGATGTTTTTTTTTTTAAGCTATGGGTGCAAACCCGAGAACCAGGAGGACACGTTACTTGTCCATCGCGGAGTCATCGGTAAACCGGATAACTCCTCGTCCAATGTCACCGCACGCACCTGCACGTCGCCTCCAACGCCTCCGACCTTCTCATCCTCTTCGAGTACCTTCACCATCTCCACGGTGCAGGCGGGGTCCAGCACCGTGTCGGAGTCGCACACCTGTGGGGGATGGTGGTGGTAGTGGTGGTGGGAATGGAGAAGATAACTTTGACGAATCGGACTGACCAGCTGATCGAAAACATTTCTGGACACTTATCTGTGATAGTTGTTAAAAAATAAAGTTTCACGTTGCGTGTTTTGTTTAGCCCGGTTGAGAAGTCAAGAGACGAGTGGGTGGTTGAGCGAATGGGCGAGTGGGTGGTTGAGTGGCTGGAAAGATGGTTGAGTGAGTGAACAGGTGAGTGGGTGTTTGAATGGTTGGTTGAGTGGCTGGATGGATGGATGAGCGAATGGGCGAGTGGGTGGTTGAGTGGCTGGAAAGATGGTTGAGTGAGTGAACAGGTGAGTAGGTGTTTGAATGGTTGGTTGAGTGGCTGGATGGATGGTTGAGCGAATGGGCGAGTGGGTGGTTGAGTGGCTGGATATATGGTTGAGTGAGTGAACGGGTGAGTGGGTGTTTGAATGGTTGGTTGAGTGGCTGGATGGATGGTTGAGTGAGTGAATTACTGAGTGGTTGAGTGGCTGTATGGATGGTTGAGTGAGTGAATGGGTGGTCGAGTGGCTGGATGGACGGTTGAGTTAGTGAGTGAATTGGTGAATTAATGACTGAGTGGCTGAGTAAGTGAGTAGTCGAGTGGCTGGATGGATGGTTGAGTGAGTGAATGCATAAAGATACATCTCCGTCGCTTGACAGTCAAATTGGCATAAAAAAAGTTACACAGCTGGAAATAAAATCATCGTAATACTAATGACAACTCTTACGTGTAAAGCGCCATACAGCACAGTCATAAAACTGAACACAAAGAAACAGCAACCATCACAAATAGAAAGCGCCATTAGTTTAATTCGCTACACGCTTAATACGTGCAAGTGTATAGATATTTAATTATGTTTATTTATTTACGAGTGAATGGATGATGATGATGATGATGACAGTCGTCTCTCATTTTGTAGAGTAACATCAGGCCCTCTCGTGAAAATGGAACTGCCCAACGACGCTTGAGGCACGGAATTCTTCAGCGGACTTGCCTTAAGGGGGGGTCTGGGTTCGAGTCCAGGTTCCCAGGCCCTGCCCGTGATTACAACCAAGTTTCAAGGGTAGTGAGTTGATGGACTCAGCCATAAAGAGTTCTAAACCTATTCTAATTTGCCATGCACATTCGACAATAGGTCCGTGCAATTGCACTACACCCCCCCCCGACACACCCCCGACACACCCCCGACACACCCCCGTATCGCCTGCACCAGGCTGTTGGGGAAAGTGCTGTAAGCGAGCACTCTCAAAGGTCGGCGTGGACCAAAACATTAAAATGGGAGTTGGGTGGCCAACACACCACGCCCGACCGCCTTTGTCTCCCCAGCGTTGATGTTCGACTGGGCACTCGTTCGAGACCGAGAGAGGCGCGGTACCGGTAGAAGGAACGCAACTAAGTGCGCTAACCACCGCGCCACCGCTCCAAACAAAGACAAAGATCCCACCGCGTAGCCTTAACAGACTGTAAGGGCAAGTGCTGTTAGCGAGCAGCACCTATGAAGGCCGTAACGGTACACACCACGCCCGACCGCCTTTGTCTCCCCAGTGGCAATGTTTGCACACCGCACCGGGTACTAATTTGAGGCTGAGTCGACCTAGGGGAGGCCCGGGACCGGTTCGTGAACGGGAATTGAACCCGGGTCGCCGGGTTCGTAGCGCAGGGCGCTAACCGCTACACCACCGCTCCCCACACTCCAAACGCACACACGTACGGTGAGGGCAAAAAAGTATTTGATCCCCTGCTGATTTTGTACGTTTGCCCACTGACAAATCTAGTCTATAATTTTAATGGTAGGTTTATTTGAACAGTGAGTGACCGAATAACAATAACGCATGTCAAAAATGTTATAAATCGATTTGCTTTTTAATGAGGGAAATAAGTATTTGACCCCTCTGCAAAACATGACTTAGTACTTGGTGGCAAAACCCTTGTTGGCAATCACAGAGGTCAGACGTTTCTTGTAGTTGGCCACCAGGTTTGCACACATCTCAGGAGGGATTTTGTCCCACTCCTCTTTGCAGATCTTCCCCAAGTCATTAAGGTTTCGAGACTGACGTTTGGCAACTCGAACCTTCAGCTCCCTCCACAGATTTTCTATGGGATTAAGGTCTGGAGACTGGCTAGGCCACTCCAGGACCTTAATGTGCTTCTTCTTGAGCCACTCCTTTGTTGCCTTGGCCGTGTGTTTTGGGTCATTATGCTGGAATATCCATCTACGACCCATTTTCAATGCCCTGGCTGAGGGAAGGAGGTTCTCACCAAACATTTGACGGTACATGGCCCCGTCCATCGTCCCTTTGATGCGGTGAAGTTGTCCTGTCCCCTTAGCAGAAAAACACCCCAAAAGCATAATGTTTCCACCTCCATGTTTGACGGTGGGGATGGTGTTCTCGGGGTCATAGGCAGTGTTCCTCCTCCTCCAAACACGGCGAGTTGAGTTGATGCCAAAGAGTTCCATTTTGGTCTCATCTGACCACAACACTTTCACCCAGTTGTCCTCTGAATCATTCATATGTTCATTGGCAAACTTTAGACGGGCATGCATATGTGTTTTCTTGAGCAGGGGGACCTTGCGGGCGCTGCACGATATCAGTCCTTCACGGCATAGTGTGTTACCAATTATTTTCTTGGTGACTATGGTCCCATCTGCCTTGAGATCATTGACAAGATCCTCCTGTGTGGTTCTGGGCTGATTCCTCACCGTTCTCATGATCATTGCAACTCCACGAGGTGAGATCTTGCATGGAGCCCCAGGCCGAGGGAGATTGACAGTTCTTTTGTGTTTCTTCCATTTGCGAATAATCGCACCAACTGTTGTCACCTTCTCACCAAGCTGATTGGCAATGGTCTTGTAGCCCATTCCAGCCTTGTGTAGGTCTACAATCTTGTCCCTGACATCCTTGGAGAGCTCTTTGATCTTGGCCATGGTGGAGAGTTTGGAATCTGATTGATTGATTGCTTCTGTGGACAGGTGTCTTTTATACAGGTAACAAGCTGAGATTAGGAGCACTCCCTTTAAGAGTGTGCTCCTAATCTCAGCTCGTTACCTGTATAAAAGACACCTGGGAACCAGAAATCTTTCTGATTGAGAGGGGTCAAATACTTATTTCCCTCATTAAAAAGCAAATCAATTTAGAAAATTTTTGACATGCGTTTTTCTGGATTTTTTGTCGTTATTCTGTCTCTCACTGTTCAAATACACCTACCATTAAAACTATAGATTATAATTTCTTTGTCAGTGGGCAAACGTACAAAATCAGCAGGAGATCAAATACTTTTTTCCCTCACTGTACGTTTTAGAGGGGCTTGCTCATCAAATCACGAATTGATCCAAAACATCTTAATGCGCAGAGGACCGCAGAGCTTGGGAAGTTACAGGTAGCGCCCTTCCCCGCTCGTCTGTGGGCTCATGCACGCGCCTCTGAGTGTCTCTCTCTCGCTACGAGAGTAACGAGCAAGAATAGTACAGGATGCTTCACAAAAATGTTAACACTTCGGAGACGTTGCCAACAACGCCGCAAGAAATGTGTCTATGGAAAAACCACCTGGAGAATATTCCAGGCGCGTATTGGCAACGATGGCGAAGAAGTTAACCCATTAGCATACATTTGTTATCATGTTACAGTGTAGTATCCGTGCTTACTCCATTAAAAATGATTGTTATGATGAGGATGATGATGACGACGACGATGATGATGACGGTGACGATGATGATGATGACGGTGACGATGATGATGATGACGACGATGATGATGATGACGGTGACGATGATGATGATGACGGTGACGATGATTATGATGACGACGATGATAATGACGATGATAATGACGACGATGACGACGATAACGACGAAGATGGCGACGATGATGATGATGACGATGATGATGACGACATGACGACGATGATGATGATGACGGCGACGACGACGATAACGACGATGATGACGGCGATGATGATGACGACGGCGACGACGATGACGACGATGATGACGGCGACGACGACGACGATGATGATGACGACGGCGACAATGATGATGATGACGTCGACGACGACGACGACGCCGCGCGTACCTGCATGTAGTCGACGGCCATGCCGAGCGCCTTGAAGGCGGTGTACATGACCTCGCGCTTGCCGCCCCAGCGCTGCATGAGGCACACGTGGCGGTGGCCGAGCGTCGCCTCGCGGACGCGCGCCTCCCCTTCGGCGTACGACCGCTCGCTCTCGCCATCGCCCAGCTCGTGGTAGTTGCTCCGCCACCGGTAGGTGACGGCGGCGCGACCCATCACCTCGCGGAAGATGTCCATCATGTACGCGTCCTCGTCCGAGTTGCCGTCCACGACCATCACGACGCGCACGCCCGGGTACGCGAGGCGCTTGACCGACCGCAGGCACTTGCGCAGGTAGTCGGGGTCCTCCTGGTAGGCGGCCACGCACAGCGCCACGCTGCGGCGCGTCGGCTTGAGCGAGGTGCCCGCGCGGCGCATCTTGCGGTGCTCGAGCAGCGCGAAGAGGCTCTGGATGAGCAGGTGGAGCGACAGGATGGCGCCGTAGAGGCCGAACGAGAGATAGTAGTTGTCGGTCGAGATGAACTGGTAGCCCGTGATGTACGCGGCCACGATGGCGCCCAGCACCGCCAGGGCGAACATCGTGGTGCCTACCAAACGCAGCGCCGAGGTCACCTTGCGGCACAGCATCTGCGAGGGCGTGAGAGGGAGGGGGTAAGAAATGATGAACGAAGCAAAGTGCCGACTACACCGAGCATCTTCTTGTTTCCTCTGATCGTAAAAAAGAGAGGGAGGGGAGTGGGGGGCTTAGTGGTTAGGGTCTGACAAAAATGATCGTTGCCCTCTCTTTGCGCTCAATCCACGCTTCCGCTCTCTCGCTCTTCTCTCTTCTCGACCCCTTCACTGGAACAAATTTGCCCCTCTTCACATAAAGCGGTCACACCCTTCGCTCACCAAGTTTCCGCTCCGCACTCAAAAACTCACTCCCTGGTACCCCTCCCTCACCACCACGCGACCCCCTCATCCCTCCCACCCCCCCTCACCCCCCATAACCACCGCCACCGTTATTGTTCCCTCTGCACATTCTCATTATCTGGCTGTCATTCATTAACCCCATTCATTCATTCCTTTCATCATCATTTACTGTCATCAATTTTACTGCCATCATTTACTGTCATCATTCCATATTCATTCAGAGGCAAGGCCACGTTAATGAGATGGGGTTTTCAAAGCGGACTTATATCTATCCCCCGACTCCGATTGCCCTGATTTCAAGTGGCAAAGCGTTCCGTGGCTTGTGGGTGCCACGCTGACAAAAGCCACCGATCACCAAAAGAGCACAACCTGTAGACCCGGGAGTGCTGAGCAGTTGGAGATCAGAAGATCTTCAGGACCTTGATGGAATATATAAATGTATTAGCTCCTGCAAGTAATGTGCGGTGAGTCCTTTCAAAACCTCATAGTCTAACAGCCAGTATCTTAAAATTCACTCGGAATTTGACCGGTAGTCAATGAAGGGATACGAGGACCTGGGTGTAACGTGCTCAGAGAATGGTGCACGTAGTGTAAGCACTGTAGCAGCTGCATTCTCAACAAGCTGGAGTCTGCCCAGGAATCCCAACCAGCATGGTGTTGATGCTGATGACGATGTTGTATCAGTAGCGGAGGAGGCCAGGGTTATTCTCAGCAAGCACAGAAAACACGTGGACGGCTGGCTACGTGCGGTGCGAAATAAGTTCCACATACATACATACACGCATAGCGTGTTGCCCCCTTGCATGCGTGGGGTTTTCTCGATTCCTATGTATGCCCCGCGCGTATGTTGAACTTTTTTTTCGCACCGTACGTGGCCAAACCGTGCACAGTTGCTCGTCAATTGGCTGAAACGCCTTCAATATACAGAGGGCCGCAGGGCTTGGCCGGCGGCTCATCGCCGCGTTGGCTGCTGCTGCTTTCCCACTCCTCTGAGTCTTCCTCTCTCTGCGAGAGCGAGGCATTATTGTTACTACGTCACATCGTCAGCCTCTGATCTCTCTTGGGCTCTTAGACGAGCCTAATCTCCACAACTACCCTCAGTTTTAGGTGGGTTGTGGTGGTGGTAGCAGAGTCGGGTTAAATGATGACGTCACCCTGCTGCCGCCCGATTTAAGACCGGGAGCAAGTGAGGACTTCATCATTCTGGCAAATTGCCAGATGCTGCTGGATGTAATTACTAGCGAAACGTCGTACTCAAAAATTGTAAATGTTGTGGATTCATTCTTCAACACACCGGTGGGCTAAAGTAGTGAACTATTTTGTCTTTTGTCAACGTGACACTTTTTTTGCTGATTGGCCGTGTTGGGTGGTGGAGGGTTACGACACATTTATAAATAACGCGATCTAAACCAAAAACCTTTATTATGAATCATATTGGTCGCGAAAGCCTCCTACTACGTGGTCAACTATTCTGGAGTCTGTCCACGCGGGGGCGATATCCGCACGCGTCACGGACGCGGGGACCGCGTGGGCCTCGTCGGAGAGGGCATCCGTGAACACACACGTGAACACGCACGTGAACACGCACGTGAACACGCACGTGAACACGCACGTGAACACGCACGTGAACACGCACGTGAACACACACGTGAACACACACGGGGGTAGTAGTAGTGGTAGTAGTGGTACCACTACTACTACCTCTTAGCTTTCCTAACTAGGGGGGGGGGATTTCCTCGTTATTTAATCATTAATCAGTTTTTTAATATATATGCTAAGTTGGCGGGTTTTGTTTTTGTGTCATCTGCGTAAGGGACGGGCTAGATTCACGTTGCGGCAATAATTGCACGATTGGCGCTCTATGAAATTGAAATCATGATAAAAACCCCCTTGACTTACTGAAAACCTAGCTTTGCAAGGTCACGATCCCTCTGGGCGAGCACGGCAATATGTTGACGAAGAGTTCCATTTCAAAAATGTCGAGGGCCGCTGCTGTTGCTGCTGCTGCTGCTGGCCACGACGAGAGAGTTCCAACAGAGACAGAGAGAGAGTGTCGCTCTTCCTCCTGCTGCTCCTGCGTGGAAGGAGCGCAGTTGGTGGCTAAACTCCATCATGTGCCGATGTTGAATTCGAGTGACGAGAAACCTCGAGGCGCCGCCACCGCCGAGCAATGAAAAGGAAGGAGCTTCGTCGGCCACAGTTGGATCAATGCATTGGCCACGTTGTCGATTGTGATCAACTAAAGCACTTTGTTTTATTTGACCGGGCGAGGCCCACTGAGCTGTGTAGCTCAGAAGAAGACCTAGCGATCACAATTGATGGCTCAACGAATCGGGCTCATCATCATCGTCGTCGTCGTCATCATCACGTGAACGTTTACAACAGCAGACACTCTGATTGCGCGATGTTCATTCTAAATGTGGAGGGAGAAAATCGGTGGACTCGGAGAAAAATCCACGCGATCACGGAGAGAGAGGGAGGGACACGCAAACTCCAAATATACAGCAGCAGGCTTCTGGATCGGGATCGAACCCACGACCTCCTGCATACCCGTCGAGGTAGTTAACATCTCCTAGCCACCATGGCGCGCAATGCCTGCATAACAATGTGCGTGTAAACGTAGGGAGCGGTGGTGCAGCGGTTAGCGCTACGCTGCGCTATGAACCCGGCGACCCGGGTTCGATTCCCGCTCACGGCCAACACCGGTGACGATTATCTGAACAGGTATGGGGCCTCCCCTAAGTGGACGCAGCCACAAATGAGTACCTGGTGCAGTGTGTAAACATCGCCACTGGGGAGACAAAGGCGGTCGGGCGTGGTGCTGGCCACCCACCCCCTCGTGTGCCGTTCCGGCCATCATAGGTACACGCTAACAGCACTTGCCCCTACAGTCTGTTAAGGCTATATGGGGGATCTTTGTCTTTATCTTTGTGTAACGACACGAATTCTGGCTCACACACACACAGGGAATCCATTATCCCCAAAGCTCCAGTGCGCGCGTCCTATCGGTTTGGACCTGAGAAGACAAAGGCGGCCGGGCATGCGTCGTGCACTGTATGAACAATCACAGCAGTTGTCAAATCCGTGTCGGTCACGTGGGTTGTTTGGCCATACTTCACCGAACTGATCGCAGTGCGGATTGGTGAATGGTGGTGGTGTGGTAGCCCGACCGGGTTGAGAAGTCACTCGCCACTGATGTTAGCCGTGGCCTGTAATCGAACTCGGGTTACCGGCCAGCGTTTAGCAAGTGCGCTAACCGCTGCGCCACCGCTCCACCGCCCAGCACAATTAACAGAGAGGAGCTGAATTGGAATCGACCCAATCTGCGTGGGCGCGGGAATGGGTTTGTGTGTGTTTTTAATCATCATCAGGCGCGTGCAGCGTTGTATTGCGCGATGGGAGCGGAGCGGTTAAACGGGGGCTTAGCCGGTCTCGTTGAAGGTCACTTTGAACTTGTTTCGCACCATACAAAGCCAACACTATCACGGGAGAAGTTCTTGTTGCTGCTGCTGCTGTTGATCGTGACCTCGCTTCATTGTGCACGCAAATAACACAAAGGTCTCCTCTGTCTCTCTCCCTCTCTCTCTCCCTCTCTCCTTCCTCTCGCCAGCGTAGCGGCGACGTTGACCATGCTACAGCGATGGTGATCGATGCGTTCAGCGCGGCGTTTCGCAGAACGTCGCCGTGGTCACGTCCAGCGGTTCCTTTGGCACCAGGAGGCGGGTTTGGTTGAAGGGGGTGGAACCACGAAGCCCGTGGAAGATCGAACCCGAGGGGGTGGGAATCTCCGGCCGTTTGGGTCGCGACTGACGATTGTCAAGGGTAAGAAATGTAAAGGTTAAAGCGTCGCATTGTCTTGTTCTTTTTAATAACAACTCAGAGAGAGAGAGAGAGGACGACTCAGAGAGAGAACGACTCAGAGAGAGAGAGGACGACTCAGAGAGAGAGAGGACGACTCAGAGAGAGAGAGGACGACTCAGAGAGAGAGACGACTCAGAGAGAGAGGACGACTCAGAGAGAGAGGACGACTCAGAGAGAGGACAACTCAGAGAGAGAGGGGACGACTCAGAGAGAGAGGGGACGACTCAGAGAGAGAACTATTCAGAGAGAGGGAGAGGACAACGCAGAGAGAGAGGACGACTCAGAGAGAGAGAGGACGACTCAGAGAGAGAGAGAGGGCGAGTCAGAGAGAAAGAGGACGACTCAGAGAGAGAGGACGACTCAGAGAGAGAGGACGACTCAGAGAGAGAGAGGATGACTCAGAGAGAGAGAGGACGACTCAGAGAGAGAGGACGACTCAGAGAGAGAGGACGACTCAGAGAGAGAGGACGACTCAGAAAGAGAGAGAGGACGACTCAGAGAGAGAGGACGACTCAGAAAGAGAGAGAGGACGACTCAGAGAGAGAGAGAGGACGACTCAGAGAGAGAGGACGACTCAGAAAGAGAGAGAGGACGACTCAGAGAGAGGACGACTCAGAGAAAGAGAGGACGACTCAGAGAGAGAGAGGACGACTCAGAGAGAGGACGACTCAGAGAGAGAGAACTATTCAGAGAGAGTAAGAGGACGATTCAGAGAGAGAGAGAGGACGACTCAGAGAGAGAGAGGACGATTCACAGAGAGAGGACGACTCAGAGAGAGGACGACTCAGAGAGAGAGGACGACTCAGAGAGAGAGGGAGGACGACTCAGAGAGAGAGGACGACTCAGAGAGAGAA